CTGTAGAGAAAAGTAAAACTATAAAATAAACATTTAGTATAGGAACTAGTCTGATAGAGACTATAGAGAAAATGAGTAGAAAATGGTAGTTCACCCAGTCATGTTCTCTGGCGTCTCAGTCTGGTGGACGTCCGTAGAGAAATCCACGATTAGAGAAAAATTTAGGAGCGTTGCTCGCCGCCTGACCAGAGACAAGTCTTCACGTGTTGATTTTTTGTTCAAATATTCACAATAATTTTAAAGTAAATATTTTTTTTTGTTATGATTCTATAAAAACGTTATCTAAGCTTTACCCAAAACCGTATAAATTAAAGTTTCTGCTATATATAAAATTTAAGAAAAATCAAGAAATTTTCATCAAATATTTGACCTTTATAATCTGAATTTGCATTACAATTCTTGGTATGCAGTTAGTATAGTCCATGCAATATTAGTCTAATGAAGTGCAAGCTAAAAAATCGTCGTTGAGTTTTGAGATTTTCTTTTCTTATATAACAAGTACAAAAACTAGCTTCGATTTTTTGAAATGTTGTTGCTAAAGATCTCCAGCAAAAAAAAAATATTAAAAATGAACGCGATTTTTTAGCCGCTTGAACCTGCACTTCATGTGACTAAAGTTGTGTGGGCCATGGTAAAACTGCATACCCAAAAATGTTGTAAAGATTCAAGTTAAAAAGCTCGAAATTTTGATGAAAGTATGTTGAATTTTCCCAAATTAAAAAATGCTGTAACTATTTAAAAAATAATCAACACATGAACACTTGTTTGAGTCACTGTATGTATGTACATTGGTGCGTCTCAATGGCCTATACGAAATTCCTATGTATCCGCATTCGTCTTTCCATCGCACAAGGCTATGCTTTGTCAGCTTCTTCCGTTTACTATGGCCAATTGGTTGACTCACATGTATATCGGCTGTCAGTTGGTCAGCCGGTCGGCCGGCAATAGCAACATTATTATTACTTTTATTTTTAATTTTCAGCGCACGTTTTCAACTCGTTGGCCTTTTTCCGCATAATTTCTATATTTTGCTGATTCATTTCCTTCTCTCCGTTGAACGATTCGATACAGAGAAGAATATAAATTTTTTTTAAATTTTCCTTTATTGGCTATTTTCGTTGCGTGGTTTTACGAAGGATAGGGGACGATGTTGCTAAATCAAATGAAAAAGTGTTAAATTTAAGTTGCATTGAATATTTCTCGGGATTGAATATTTATAAGCATTTCGTGGAAAACTACTTGATGAGTTCCTTCAGATTTCAAAGATTTCTTTCGAAAGTATTGATTCTAAAGCTGATTCAGATTTGCATATTTACTATTTTTGTTGAACTTGCATTGAGTTTCATATTAACTTTTTCATCAGTGCTAATCCAAGCTTAATTGTCGAGTATTTTTTCAACGCACACGCCTTTCGTACGTTTTCGTCCAGATCATCAAATTGACTTAACCTTTTGCTGCTGCTATAAAGAACATCACAGCTAAAGACTGCTTTCTTTAAACTCATTTTTCGCTTTTTATTTCTCCTTTTTTCACATTTCTTATTTCACATTTTATATCCATTTAATAACGGCAAATTACTGCATAACTGTTGGTTATTAAAAATTCACTCATTTCGTTAACTGAAAATCATTAAAGCAGCTGACCGCGCCGCCAATGCATTGCCGCTGCATTGCGCTGGAGAGATGCGCCCCTCCCCCCATTGGTAAGTCCAGCCACCGCCGCTTGCTTACACTCACAAATGTCCGCCCGCTGCCACACAGCCACGTCCAAACATTTATTGCCGCCCTCCGCTGGATGTTAGCCATTTAGCACGTGTGTGGGCTGCTGGCCGCACACAGCCACAAACAAGCATACATACACGCAATAAATACTACTTGCAGGCAGGCATTCAGGCGCTTAGCAAAAATTTTGTTGGCCGTTATTAATTCCTTCAGCGAGCCTTTGGTAGCACACGTCCGCTACTGCGCATTGCACTTATGTAGGTATGTTGCATGCGCGTATGTATGGACTTGGGTTGCTGCAGCGCCTGCGGCACACTTTTCACTCTCCTCTTTGTCATGTTTATAAATTGAATTATTTATTAAGAACAATTTTCATGCCTCCTATACCTTAAGGAAGCATTTGGTTTGCGCTGTGTGGCGTGTATGGCCCCTTAAACGAACGAGTAAATATTTTGGTAGGTGGGCGTTTGACAATTTGTCTTTAGTTCTTTTTTTTTTAATATTTAGTACCACATCTTTCACCACAATTATTTTTATAATTTTTTTAACCCCTTTTTGAAATTGCCTACACGTAATAAAGTAATTAAATCATGACAAAGAAATTTGTTTTGCCGGAAGATTTATTGTGTGGTCAGTTTATGGTGTATCAAATTATTTGGTTTGTTGTTTAAAATGATGGATCGCGTGGATGTTTTACATTGGTGCAGTAAAAAGTAATGAATTAAATAAATTTAAAATGAAAGTTGTAGATTTATGTATGGCATAGCTACATATGAATAATTATATTCTTTGCAACTATTCTGGTCTTTTTAAGTTTGCTTTTAGCGTTGATAATATTTGAAACTAAGAAAAGGTGATAGTTTGGATTAAGCTTGCGAATTGTGATTGTATGAGGAAAGCAAATGCATATTTGCTGCGGTTTTTTTGTGGAACATGAATTTGTATTTTTTTGTTTTTTCTTTTTTTTATATAAATAAGCACACCCTTGCAGTATTACGATTTTTTGTATTTATATTATTCACACCAAATTTTTCCTTAAACAAATTTAGTTTATTCATCAGCAAAAACCACAAGAATCATTTTTTTTTAATTTCATACAGAACTCGAGAAATGCCAAGAAATTTACATCGAAATATTCAATTTTCAATTTGATTTCTTAGAAAAACTCTGAGTACGTAGTATTGTAGTCCATTAAATTTTAGTATAATAAAGTGTAAGTTTCAAGTCGCTAAAAATTACTGTTGATTTTCGATTTTTTTTTTTGCCGCATGAACCACTTTTTTTGGCTATGCAGTTTAATAGCCCATACACCTTTAGTCTTACGAATTGCAAGTTTCAATCGGCTAAGAAATCGCTTTATTTTTAATTTTATTTATTTTTTGCTGACGAATATTTACTATGAAAAACAAAATTTCAAAAACTTAACGCCATATAAATTTTCTTGCTATATAAAAAAAACCCAAAAGCCGCCACAAAAAAAATTCAAGATTCAGATTAAAAAGTTTGAAACATTTTTGCATTTGATTAAATTTTCTATAAAGTTTAAAGAAACTTTGATCTATATAATTTTTAACAATATGTTTATAGAAAAATTAAAAAAAAAAAATACTTAAAAAATTTGTGAATATTTAAAAAATCAACACGTGGTCATCTGTTTGAGTCACTGTGTATTATTTTTAACCGATTATATGGAGATCTTTGAGAGTCGTACTTATATTTTTTTTATAAACCAAGTGGGTCTTATTTTTTTTGCGATTGTCTTTTGCACGGGGATTTTCAATATATTTAATTTAAAGTACATGTACTTTTCATTTTAATTAAAACAAAATTGATACTTGTCAACAGTTAGCAACTGTTATTATCTTCAAGTATCAATCACTTATCTTTCAAGTGCAATAATTTCCATTTTCATACTTAATTTTATAATACATAGAGGGTGATCCAATATGAATTTTCTATTTTCTATTTTGAATATTTTTATATGAAATTCTATTTCTGCTAAACAACTTGGCCGATTAAATTTTTTTTTTAATGTATGGGCTTATCTTTAGTTGTGCCCGCTAGGTGGCGCTGAAGTCGATATGTTTGGAAAATTCGTATTTTATGTTCTTTTTGGCCCACCTTTTTCGCATAGGTTGGATACATTTAAATAACGATTTCTTGAAAAAATAACATCCTGTAGGTTGCGCTGAAGTCGAGCTATTTGTAAAAATGTACCCGCAGTGAGAGTTTTGAGGTAAGTACGGGATGAAGGCGCTCGTGGCACAGAGTTTGGGAATATTATCTTTCAAAAAAAAGATACTGAAATATTTCCCAAATTTGGCGAAAAAGAATATATTATTTAAGTGGGATAACTATGGCCTGACAGGATTGAGAAATTGGCCGTCGTTCGCAATCAGGATATTTACTCTACGATTTCCAGCTACCTTAATCATCAGTTAAGGTTTTTCTTCCATCAAAGTTGGTGTTGAATTCTCAAATAGTTTATGTTCTATTTTTTACAAATATTGGACGTGTGCAAATCCAAGTGAAAGTCAAATTTAAGAGATTTCAAAGAGAGATAAATTAAATTTTCTTTTTGGATCACGGACTACGTAAGCAAACCGAACCCTCTTAAAAATATGTTGAAAGTAATAAAAATGTGCCAGCTAATTAAATTAATGGCACGGCTTACCAGTTGGTTTATTCATTTCTTTACAAAGTAAAATTTCTTAAAAATTGCTGCACTGCCTTTTGATAACATTTTCCAAATGCGTTCAGCCGATGGCGAACCCTTTACTTAATAAATTTGGCTTCAGAATTCGAGCCTTCGGCACCAAAAATTAAAGCAATCATCCCATCTGAAACATTAAATAAACCCACTTCACGCGCTTGTTTAGCAATCTATATATAACACAGGTCTACAAGTCCATTGTGACGTCTACAGAGTTGCATTGAGCCACCTGATATTTTCACCCCCATCCAAATGCTGCATACAAATGTATGTAACAAATAAATGAAAATGTTTATTTCCCCATCATTGTACCCATTTTCATAAGAATATTGCTACTTATCCCATTACTACTAATTAATATTAGCTCAGTAGGTCCGGAAGTTTTGCACCTGCACTTCGCTGTTAAATAAATAATACTTTTTAATTTGTACACACTTAGACTGCTTAGAGTCACACTTGCTTTTTTTTACCGTTATTTGCTTATAATTAGTACGATTGATAAGTAAAAATGCGCCCACTTCAAACGCCTATAAATACCCGACATGCAATCCTTCAATAAAACAGTTCAGTTGCAAGTGTTTCGAGAGCAATGTTCATCATCAAAGTATTCGCGGCCGTTCTCGTTGCGACGGCAATTTTGCATCCAGCAATAGCCGCCAGTTTGGCAGAGTCGGCGGATGCACCAGAAGCGCCAAATTCATTGGAGGTGGTCCCTCTGGCCCGTGCCGTTGAGATCGACGAACGCGCTAAGAATTTTCTAAATGTGAAGAACTGGAATGAGAACGCCATCGATAAGAGATATAGCGCTGAGGATTTGCCAGCACTGGCATTCGCATTGAACAACATCTACAGCGGCGATGCGGCATCCTTCAAGAAGATGGTAACTCTACAATTGTACTTGTTTGGCAAATTCGACGACAAAGGCGATGTGAATGATGAATATGTCTTAAATGTGGCACACTATTTCGCACAAATTAAAAAGAATAAGTTACATTCGAAGTTATCCAGTAACTTGAAGAATACGCTGAATGACTACATCGGCTACTTGCCGCCATCGCTGGACTATCTCTTCTTCCAGTCGTCCTTCTGTCTGTTGAATCGCAAGCACTTGAAGTACCTCTATACCACAGACATGCACATCGACAGTCAGCGGGATTATGTTTTCATTTGGGATAAGGATTCAAGCAACAATCAAAATAAGGGCGCTTATACAACAACAGTGAATGACGTGTCCAGCAATCGTCAGACGAAATTGAAATTCACACTCAAAAACGTCAAGTCGAAGCGCTACGCATACTTGGAACGCAACAGTTACAATGGCAAGCGAAATTTGCTGGCATCGTGGCACGCCGTCAACCAGAAGCCTTCAAACGCCGAGTGGACAGTCTCACTCTACCAAAATCAGCTGATATTTAGCCAAAATGGACGTGTCATTTGTGCCAGTGACTCGCTTTACGATCAAAGCAGGCGCTATGTCTATGGCTTGGATGAAGATGGTGAGGATAAAGCAGCATGCCAATGGTATGCCAAGGATTGTCCATGAAGGCGAAGAAGTTGGAGATAACAGCAGTAGATATGAAGTAAGGGCTTTCAGTGGGGACTTACCATGTATGAAGGCGTTAAATAAAAAAAAAATGTCTAAATTTGCAAACGAGCCAACTCTATATTTGAAGTTTTACTGCGCCAAAAGGACAATTAATAAACTTTAGGAAGTATTCGTCAAATGACGCGTGTGTTCGAAAATTTTCAATGCAGAATTCTCTTAAACATACTAAATTCAGAAACCAATAACGTAAAACAAAAATTGCAATAAATTTTTTGCTTTCATTCACTTTTAATTGCGCGTTTAGCTTGTAACTCATCAGCTCGCATCATTCGAGTATTAATTGTGGCTGTAGTAATTGAAATTCAGCTAAAATGGGTTACTATGAAACAATTGAGTTTACTTGTGCGCAACATCGTTTCTTCTTCGTCATCTTTTTAGCTTTTGCTTGTACTTATGTGCATTTCAGTAGCACCACTTTGCAAGTCTTGCAACATTTAACTACTACTTGGTTTTTTGTTGTTATTTAATTGCCGACGTTTGTAATTTGCCTTCTTCTACGTTTGCTTATCAGTTGCAATTTCTTTGACCCACTTTCGATTGTTGCCACATGCCACATGTTGCACAACAAGCTTGCAGCTATGTACATGCATTTATGGGGCACTTCAAGACGAGTAGTGAGCTTTTACTCTAATTACACTAAGCAACAAATTGGAAAAAGGTTTCCGAAAATGTTTTTTTGTCATTGTTTTTTTTTTAGTTTCTTAAAATATTACTTTTTTATGTAATTACAGTTGTTGTGAACCTTTTCAATAAAACTAAATTAGAATTTGAAATAATAAAATAAAATAAAATTAAATTAAATTAAATTAAATTAAATTAAATTAAATTAAATTAAATTAAATTAAATTAAATTAAATTTAATTAAATTAAATTAAATTAAATGAAATTAAATGAAATTAAATTAAATAAAATAAAATAAAATAAAATAAAATAAAATAAAATAAAATAAAATAAAATAAAATAAAATAAAACAAGATAAGATAAGATGAGATACAATAAAATAAAATTCATAAATATAGCTCATATACTTATGTACTTAAATCAAATACAAATAAAAAGAAAAAAATTAAATTTTGGAAATTGCTCGGGCCAAGTACGGGACCTGGCTCCCAGTGAGTACCCAGCTATAACCACCCGAATACCCGAACTCGCTAGCTTTGTTCGTGTTGTACATAGTACTTCATTTCAAATACATTTCTGTGGCTGATCAGTGTGACTGTGACTACATGTATTTATTGTACATAAATATGTATGTACATATAAGCCGACTCATCTGTAATTGCTGAAGCAGCAATCATTCTGTCGATTCGGCCAAATTATTATACAGTACACATCATTGCAAGACAACAACAATAATTGTGTCAATTTAATTCGCGGAGAATGGTAAAACTCATTAAGCCACTGTTGAGTTGATAATAGCCCATGCAATCAATAATGAATGGGCTTATAGCTTTTTTAGGAAATATCTGAAATTTATTTATTGTTGTTTATATACATATACATAGTACATANACGATTCGGCCAAATTATTATACAGTTTGTACACATCATTGCAAGACAACAACAATAATTGTGTCAATTTAATTCGCGGAGAATGGGGAAACTCATTAAGCCACTGTTGAGTTGATAATAGCCCATGCAATCAATAATGAATGGGCTTATAGCTTTTTTAGGAAATATCTGAAATTTATTTATTGTTGTTTATATACATATACATAGTACATACGAGCACATATGTAGGTATATATTTATATGCATATGAATGTTAAATAGAAAACCTATTTTTCTTGCTTGCAAGAAGATACACAAGACGTCGCACAGTGTTACGTTGCGGCCAAAAATGGTATAAATAAAGATAACTAATATAATGAAATTTTAATGCAGATCGGTAGAAAATACTTTTCGCAAAAAAAGGTCCTTGATTACTTCGTAGAGTCTAAAAGTTGTAGAATTTTTCATCGTAAAATCAAGGCCAACATTTTTTTCGGGATTTCTAACTACACCGCAATTTTTTTAGACTAGGAGAAAATATATAATTAGCTCTTAGTATACTTTGCGGATCCCCTCAATCTGATTTAATCGTTATTTTATTGTAAAAATTTTCACGACTTTAAGACTTTACGAAGTCAAGGAAATTTTTTTGGGAAAAGTATTTTCTACCGATCTGCATTAAAATTTTGTGTCCTGGAAGAGTACGGTAGCTCTAGCTGAAATGGAGGTTGTTATTAACCGACTTCCAAAAAAGGAGGAGGTTATCAGTTCGTCGGAATATTTTTAATTTTTTTTATTTTTTTGTTTTTATTTGATGTATGTTACCGCATAACTTTGGACCACATCCACCGATTTCGATAATTAGTTTTTGCATCGGAAAGGTAGTGTCTCAGAGGTGGTCCCATACTAATCTGGTCAAGATCCGATCAGTGGATCATGAGATATATATATTTATATTTTTTATATGAGAGTTGAAGTCGGTTTTTTTTTTGCTAAAAATTACTTGTTTACTTTTCTCTTTTTATGATAGAGATCAAAGACTAATTCTTAAATGGAATTTTTTATAATAAGTTGTAATCTCTGCGACCTCGGGCTTAAAGCAAATCTCCAGACGATATTTTTTTATAAAATGTAAACAAAAGTTTTATAAACCAGTTTTCAAAAAAAAAAAATTCAATTGCTGAAAGTGAAATTGTTGCGTAATCAAATGCAAAACTGACGTTCCCACAAATTGTTAGCAAGTGAAATGGGTGTAAAGGTGTTTAACAAATATGAAGGTAAATAAATTTTTTATTGTTGATGCATGCCCATTTATGAAAAAATTAAAATTTTCACTGATAGGAGAGGTGGCGCTCATACAATATGTACATACAAACCTACTTACATATGTATGCATGTATGTACATTCGCTCATTACGCAAACGAGCATAAAATCTTAGCTGTGTAGGCCGAGCATTAAAACACAATGCACTCATTCCACACCCGTCTCATATAAAATATACATATGTATGTATGTATGCGTTCAATATTTTGTGCATCAAATAGGTAAAAAGATTAGAAAACAAAACAACAACAAAAGCCTCGTCCAACGCTCCAACTCTTCAAAATTTCTCAGCTTCATTTGCCATCAATTTGTGAAATGCGTTAGTGGGATTCATTGCGCGGATGACGCGAATATAATGAAAAGCTTCTCTTACAAACNAAAAACAAAACAACAACAAAAGCCTCGTCCAACGCTCCAACTCTTCAAAATTTCTCAGCTTTATTTGCCATCAATTTGTGAAATGCGTTAGTGGGATTCATTGCGCGGATGACGCGAATATAATGAAAAGCTTCTCTTACAAACGTAAACTCAACAATTGTTAGGACCATCAGCACTCATCAAAACTTATCTTTGTTACTTTTGTTTTGTAGTTGTTAGTTGCTTAAAGTGTTGGTGTTATTTCTTTATATCCCACATACATATACATATATTGAAATGCTAATTGGTATATGTATGAGTGTTGCCATAAATTGCCACCTGTTTATGGTAATGCCAATGCTAATGGTAATTACTTTCTATTTCAATAATTGAAATAAGGAAAACGAATTGTGTGAATGTACAGAGGAATGCGAGTAAATTTCATTTAGTTTTGGTTGCCATGGCAGCAGTTGCACTTAATTTAATTTTTTTCTGCGCAAATTAAAACAGAAGTTATTTTTAAGTGTTTTATGGGGTGTAAAATATTGCGCTTCGTAATTTTTGTATACGTAACTATGATTAAAAAAAAAAATGCTCATAACTGTAAAAAATTTTCTATACTGTGCTTCTTTTAAGTTTCGCACATGACTCAATCCTTATCTTCCATAGAGCGCTACTCGTGGCAAAAACAACAAATAACACACTCGTGTAGCGATGATACAATGGTCATATACGCTGTATATTTTTATGGATATACACTTACATACATGTATACATACATTTGCTCGTGAATTTGTAAAAGCACGTACTTATGCAGTAAGCATTTATTTATGTATGTATGTATACAAACACAGATATTATTAATTCATGCTTATTTGCGAAGTTTATGCAATAATTTAATAAGGAAAATTATGCATACAACTTTCCTGCAAATGGGTGAAAATATAAACATGTACATAAATTTTTATTTTTATCGGGTTTTATTAGAGGGCAGACAGCGAGTAGCAAGAATATAAATAGTGTCGCCATAACTTCCGTGAAAATATATATTGATTCAGAAAATATATTTTTTTAATGTTTCTACGGCTATCGATAATTGCAAATTTCGAGTGAATAGAAATACTGTTAGTACTTGTGCTTATAGATTCGGGTTAGAAACAAATATCTACATACATATTTAAATGCAGTGAAAAAAATTTGAAAAAATACTTGCAAAAATCGATCGCGAAGTGGGAACACTTTTTTGTGCCAGGGGAAAATTTCATAAACTGTTCCCTAGTTCGAAAAACTGTTCCCAGCGTGAAAACCTGTTCCCGGTGTACAAAACTGTTCCCGTCTTAAAAAATATCCTACACTGGAAAAATTTCTTTCCGAAAACTATTTTTTACTCTTTGAACAGCCGCAGCATCAATAATAAATGGCTTCGTTCGCGTATTAAAAAAACTTAATCAGCAGTCCAACTTAAATTTGTTTGTGTGCACTAGCTCTTAGTTGACAAGCACTGATCCTCGAGAGTTGTGGTTCTTTAACCCATTATTGTCATGTACATGCTTAAGTACAATCGTTTTTTAACTATTTTTGTTGATTAAAAAACTATTCCTATTTTAAAACCTTTAGAAGTCAGTCAAAGGGTTCTTTTCTAATCATTTACCCTTCTTAAAATATAGCACTAAACGCGATTTTTTGACATTCTCACCACGTTTTTCTCAAAATCTGGAGCTAATGGAAACAAAAAAGTCTATCAATAACAATTTTAGCATTTACCGCAACAAAAGCAGTGTTGCCCTGTGTTATGATTTTTATTATAAAGAACTCACAAAATTTTTGAAAACCTTTTTTAAGCATAAAATGTTTCTTATTCAAATGGTTCACGCAAAACAAATAATTTTTTATGGAATTTGCAGTTGCATATTTTTCTCCCGTTTTGGATTCAGTTTTCAATTTTT